ATTGTTCAATGGGTAAAATGAAAAAAAAATATATATATATATATTCAAAAATAATCAACCACTGGCCCGCGGGCCACTTCAGTCCAACAAATCTCCCACATTAGGCCCACACTATGTCAGTATCGCTGTAATTCTTTACTGAGGGGAAAGCAGAGGAAATGTGATGAAGAGATTTCTGAGCCAAGAACTAATGAAACCGATATTTGTGCGATATTTGAAATGCACTTGGCGGTTAAGAAAACATTAGCTCTGTTGAAAATTTTAACGAGGTGAAATACTGTTTGTGCATGTTTTTGTTCTAGTATTAACAAAATTAGTGGAAAAGGTTTCGTACAGACATCCCCCCAAAAAATAAATACCCATGACATCCTGGCAAAAAGACCAAATATCAAACCATCAATCTTTCTCCCGTAAGACGAGAACAATGACCGATCTTACTTTGTTTTGATTCTTGGAAGATGGAAGATTCCATTAATGACTACATGCAGTTCGTTTACTTCCTTTAATTTGGAGATTTTCCCCGGTCAGAATGGACCTCCTGACAGATATCGACTTGTTGCTGCGGCACATTCTGAAGGAGGGGGTTCACACCACACAAATGTGGGAGGAGGGGACAACTGCTCCTTTCAGCCTGTCACTTGCACCAGCGCTGCTTACAGCTGTCACATGATTGATGACCACTCCCGAGCCTGTCAACAACTCCAACTCTGCACCCTAACCCTGGCGAACATGTGTCCTCGTAGCTTTGCCTGTATGTCCAATTCTCTCACAATTTTTGCATTTGAATAGTGAACACCAACGTTCAGCAGACAAAAGCATTTTTATTTTTTTCTTTGTTCGCTTCCTCCGTGTCCTCTTTTCAGCACATATCACTAGGGAAACAATGTATTTTAAAAACTCCCGGTAACATTTTCAGTCATCTTTATTCAACGAGGATTTGGCTTTTCATGTCTCTACATTACATCTTCATCTCATTTCCTCCCAAATCCTCAAAGACATGTATTAATCTCTGTGTGGCGGGGATCATTCTCATTGTTTTGATAAGGCTTCCAATATAGTGCTGTTACAAACCCTTTTTTTTAAAACATCTGTCAATCAACCTATTTGTTCAGGCAGTACACACTCATACTCAATTACTCTCTCTTCTTGCTCAGAATGAGGTTAAAAAAAAAATAAAGAAGAAAACATTGAAAAGAAAATGATACCAGCTATCAATCACACTGACTTTATCCTCAACTTAGGATGGAATGCACGTACAGGAAGTTGCATTGCAATCTATGTAAAATACATATTTAGCTATAACATAAGGGCTTGTCAATTGTACACCCCAGTTGAAAAGGCGGACAGTCAGAGGACAAAGCAGAACGTTGATTGAATAGTTTCCAGTTCTTTGGGGTAAGTGGTGTGTGAGGGCCTTATTTTTTTAGCATAAAATGTTATATGTTGTTAGCCAACCGGCCAAGTAAAGTGACCAACAGAAATGTCCTATGATAAATCGAATTATGTTGAGCAGATGAATCTGACCTCGGAACGGAAAAAAATTGGTAAAAAGTAGAAATATCTCAATCTGAGACTCAGAATTGGTTGAAATAGAAGCATCAAACATCAAAACAAAAAAAAAGAAACTATAGCCTGTCCGATCCGATACATAAGTCGGAATGCGATGTTGTAAACAGGGACATTATCGCCTCAGTAATGGCAGCCTGCATGCCGGAGGAGCCTAAACTATCACCTCAAAACCCCACATTCGTCTGTGGAGACTTCGACTTCAGGTTATAAACCCAACTTGAAATGTGGTGAAAGTAGAAATATCTCGATCCGAGACTCAAAATTGGTTCAAACATCAACAAAAAAACAAACAAAAAAAAAACTATAGCCTGTCCAATCCCATACCTAAGTTGGCATGCTTAACTCAGCTTTGCATGACATGTTGTAAACAGGGACATTACCGCCTCAGTAACGACAGCCTGCATGCCGGAGGAGCCTAAAATATCACCTCAAAACCCCGCATTCGTCTGTGGAGCCTTCGACTTCAGGTTATAAACCCAACTTGCGTCAGTCTCGCCTCAATAAACGCTGGACAGAAACTCTGTCTACAGCTGACAAGAGGACTGACACGTTTGCCGAACAGATTGTGAGACTGAGATTGTTGAGGACTTCGACCAAGGTTTCGAAGTCTGAAAACAACCCTCGGTGTGCTACAAGCCAACCAATACGATGCAATGAAGTCCAACTTCAACTCTAGGTAGCTGAAGTAGAACTCTTGCACAATTTTCCATATTAATAACTAAATCTAAATTCAGAATTTACAAATTTATTTTTCTGTTCCAGAAACACGAGAAAAAAAACATTTAGGATTGTTAACTTATTTTATATTGATTAATCAATGATTATTGCATATACTAATTAAAGATTAATTAATCGAATCACTATTAATCAACAGCTACCCTGTCATTAATCAGGTTTAATTTTTTACTTGATTAACACTGATGTGTTTTTGTTTTTTTTTTTTGTTTTTTTGCAAACAGGTTCTGACAGTGTCAGTTGAAAACAAACAAACAACCAAAAAGGCAGAAATAAGCACTGAGCACCTATCATTTTTGGAAGTTATGCCTTTGAGTTGGACATATTTGCAAACAAATTTGTCATCATCACTTAACACAGATCAGTCACCACTCCTCCTTAAACCAAGCCCCCCTCGAAAACCCCCAGGGAGTGTGAGCAGCAACACCAGCTCTCGACATGACAGGAGCTGATAAATGCTGATGGGTGATAGACAACGTTTGGAATACAAACATAACCCAGTAGTCAGAGGGGCTCTTTGTTACCTTAACCTGCACTTTTGTTTTCCGTCTCCCGCCCCCCGCTCCCCCACCCCACCCCGACGCCTGTTCAATGCAGCGCTTTCACCCCCGTAATTTCTCAGCGTTCCATGTTAACAACCTAACTGAAGAACAGTGAACCTTTCCTGCCTGTTTGTCAGCTCAAGAGGTAATATCAGGGCCGGAAGGAAACATTTGTCAAGGCTGTGTAAATGTCAAATAAGCCGTGGCATTATTGTGGCATAATAATGAGGGAAAGTTTATGACACACCTCTGTAGTAATTTAAACAAAAGTCGGTAGAAGCAGACAAAAAAGGGCAGCAGCTTTATATGCATTTGGAGTGTGAATGGCACGGGTGTATCGCGTTATGTATGACAAGGTAATTTCGTTTATATTTAGTATATACTTAATCGTAAAGCAGCGCTTTTTTCCCCCTCTCATGTTAGTGCCAGTTCATTTTTCGAGGGGCTTCAAATACAGGCAGGACGTATTTGACCTAGATCTAGAAAAAGACCAGAAATGCTTATATTTTATGTTAGCATTTATATATTTATATTTATGTTTTAACATTGTTTGTCACCATTTGCATTCTACTAAAGTGTAGTAACTTTTCCAACTAAACTAAATATAATTTTTTTTAATTATTCAAGATTATAAATATATAAATACAGTCAGTATATTTCAGTATATTGCAAAACATACTATAGTTTAATAAACTTGTCTGTTGTTTTTTTTCACCTTAGTATTAGTAGTCAGGATTGGTATTCCATTTCTATTTTTACTTATGATTTGTAATCAATTCATATATGAATATATTTTGTTGTTTTTAACGTATGTCAATTGCACCAATATTCATTCATGTTTAATCACACACACACACACGATGGCAAAAACGCACTGAGGATACAGAGCAGAACATGGAGAACGAGACAGAGACGGCGCTCGACATTCCGACAGCCGCAAATGACAAACAATTTAGGGTGTAAACCAGAATCGCTGATTTGTCCGCATGTGTTCGGTTGTGTTTGCAGTGTTGACTCTGAAGTCATTCTCTTAGTGGGAAAAAAAAAAGTAGTGTGAATTTTAAGCAGAGGAACAGAAGCACCTGACAGGCAGTAGCTAGTGTAGACACGTTCGAGAGTTGTCATGATACATTATCGCACAGAACAAAAGAAAAACGAATGAAAAGCTGACATCATATTAAGGTGTGCTGTTTACCTGCAGATAAGCGGAGTGCTAATCACAAGTGACGGGATTATTGACTCTGTCGACACTAACGTGGTATTGATATATTGACACTCGCATGAGCATCGACAGAATATTGATTAGACAAAGTACTCATGCTAAAATGTGTCGCTTTCACATCTTTTAGGCTCGACTTACTACATACAAGCTTTTGTGCTTCAACTCCCACCCCTCTGTAAAGTAAAAATGACCTCATCCATTCAGAGCAGTGACCCCATGTGGTCAAGTCCAATAAAGTAATTTGTTATGGCTAATATGTAGCTAATAAAAAGCCATGTTAAATTTCTTAAATAGCGAGTATAAGTTCTATTGTGTAAAAAAACAAAAAAAAGTATCAATACAGGTATCGGTATCCAAAAAAGTCGCCAATTATTGTGTAACAAAGAAAAAAGTATCAATATAGGTATCGGTATCCAAAAAAGTCGCCAAAAAAGTATCGTATCCTGGTATCGCCCATCACTACCAGTCACTGTGATTTGACTCGGGTGAATTCCAATTTGTTGACAAATGTTGAAAACAGCAACAAAACCAGGATTTATGAATCCAGCAACAGCTCATATTTAGCCGTATTCATTTATTATATAAGTGTGTGTGCGTGTGTGCGAGAGTGTATGAATTTAAAAAGCATATAAGCTCCAGACCGCCTCAATTGGTCTGTGTAAATGAGCCATCAACGGCTGTCACAGGGGCTGTTACAACAGCCAGGACAAATGAAGACACAGGGTGCTGCCCGCATGGGCCGCCGCCGCCGCCCACGGCGCCTCGTTCAGGCTTTCAGACTCATGAGACCACTGCAGACCCAGCGAGCAGGACTGGCCTCAGGGACAAGACAGTGTGTGTTTTTCATCTTTGCATGTGTTACTGTTTAAGTTGAGACTGGAACGAGAGGGTCTGCACAGTGTTTTCCCTCGCAACGGCGTCGGTGGACTTACGTGTGCAGGCCACAGACGGAGGGTCGGAGAGCGCTCGGTAGTAGCCGTCCTCGCAATCGCAGCGCCAGGAGCCCTCGCGGTCGTTGTAGCTGTGCGCCGGACAGCGGGAACACTGCAGGTCCTGGGAGGAGGACTTGTAGAAGCCGCGACCACATGCTGTTTCAGTGAGATAAAGAAGGAGAAGGGGAGGAAACGAGGAAGGCAGGAAGAAGGAAGAAAGAAACAAGGGGGAAAATGTAAATTGCCACAAAAGCACGTTTCTCAATAACTAGAGACGTTTAATGCTAAATATCTGGGTTTTTTCTTACAAGAAAAAGTCTCTAAATTTGGAAAGTCTATCATTTTGTTCCTGATAATTATCAGATGTTGTTTTAAAAAGATAAATATAACAATGAAATCAACTCGTGTTTGGCTCAAGTCCACAAGAGAGAATCTTCAAAATCCTTTTAAAAGCAAAATGGTATAACGATGGAGTTTTTCTCTACAGTTTTCAATCAATTCAACTTCGGACTACCGCAACTCAAACAGTGATTTTTCATTCAGTCAACAACTTGGTACTAACACCTGCCACGCCTGCAAGTTACAGCTCATCACTGCATATCTGCGGGCGATGCTCATCTTGTGCAAACACATTTTGAAGAGGTAGCCGCTACGCTTCGTGTTTTCTCGTGATGATGAGGGCATGACAGAACAAACCGGGGCCTTTCGCATCGAGGAGCAGGCAGTATTCCGGATGAGCCTGCCCCCCGCCCTCCCCCCCCATCAAGCAAGCCGAGGCTTGAAAGCGGCACCACGCCGTTGTGATTACTCGGTGATAAAGTGCAAGCACACACTTTGAGAGAAAAATAACGAGGATGTGTTCATTCTGATGAAAACCTTGGGTTCGGGTCGAGAGATTGTAACTCTCGTCTCTGGGAAGGGACGTTGTTTGTCCTTGTGACGCGTTAAGTGTACCTAGCGAACGCGCACAGATGTGCCGGCATGATTGCAGAGGTTTAACCTTTGACCGAGAACGTACACAATACCCCGTGAGTCTAATCAAGAAACACCGATAGACTTGTAAACGCCTACTTACACGCTCAGTGTGTTTTTTAAGAGACATGCATGAGACAATATACAAAGACGGCATGTTTGCAAGAAAAACACTGTGAATCTAGAGAGAATGTTTATATTAGGAATGCACCAATACCCATATCATTATCACTAGTATCATTATCAGACTTCATAGTTTATTCAAATGCTAATTCTTATAAGTAAAACGTGCCAATTCGGGGATCGGGTACTCCATAACGACCTTTCACCTCAAACATCTGTGTACTGGTCCGTTTTTGTTGTAGGGTCACAAATAAAATGTGATGACAGTGTTAAAGCTCCACACACTTTCTGTTCAGCTAGCTGTGTTAACTATGCAAAAAAAATCGATTTGTATTTATGTTGATTCTTAATTTTTTTTTGATATTATTATTAACCTTATATGCAAAGCGTTAGTTTAAAGATGTTTCCGTTTGAGACATAATGACTTGTTTCCCCGTTACCTTCAGTTAATGAGAGGAAAGTACATAAAACTGGCTGTAAGCGTTTTACTGCTTGGTTTATTTCACTGTGATTTGGGTTGAGCTCACACCTACGCGCTGCACATAACCTCATTTCCCAGACAGCTGTGTCACATACATAATGCTGGAGTTTGTTGCATAGTTACTGAAACCTAACCTTAAGAACAATAAGTAGTGATACTCGGTATCAAGGAGTACACAACTGAGAATACTGGAAATTGGAACGGTTTGGAATAAAATGGTATCGGGGCAACCCTCGATCTTCCTAAGGACAAGTAGTTGAGTTGAGGTGAGTGTTCCTGTTTTAGCTTTATAGTCAACTAGTCAACAGTGAGTACTTGAGTACAACAAGTAACACTCTCATTTATTTCCTTCTAATGTTTCATTTTTCTCTTTAAAGTTTTTTTTTTTTTCTTTCGGTCACCACCTCATGTGACAGGTCAGGAATGACGAGCAGATTTTCCTTTTTTCTCTCCGACAGATCAGTATACAAAGAAAGACACTGTTCAGAATATTACAATTTCAGCTACAAAAAAGTCCTGACATCCTTCATCTATCGCTGTTTCAAGACCTTTTTCATTTCAAACCAAAAGAAAAGTGTTTTCCTAAAGCACATATCGATTGTCCTCCAGATCAACACATGCAGTGGGATCTATTACTTATTTCATTGTTAGAATTCCAATGAGTGATAAAGTTCCACGTAAACCAAGTCTTCTCCCCATATCTGACAGTCAGGTAAACATTACCACCCCATAGGAACTGATAATGACAATGAAGTGTTGTGTCCAGGAGGTTAAAGATTATCGACACAGCTTTTCTTCAACTACACTGAACTCTTTAAAAGTTCCTGTAAGCCAGCAAGTTTTTGCCTGTGGGCTTCTGAGAGCTCATCTGTTAGGCGGCCACTGTGCAAATATGGGAAAGCCCAGCAGGACCCGAGCTAACTTTAGCCCTTCTGCTCCAGCAACCCTCAGAATTTATAAAGTGGAATAAAGAAATGTTAAAAAAAAGTTTGTCTGACTCTCAAATTATGTTCCATCGAATTTAGATACTTACGTACAAAGTCGATTTATTTCTGGACCACTAGAGAACCACTGGACCACTCCGTTTTGCCAATGTGAGTTGACAACGGAGAATTGACTTTCAATGGACATTAACAAGAGAGAATTCGACACAATTATGGGGTCTTTAGTTCACAAAAATTAAGTACTGAAAACTTGAATTTTGTCTGTTAAGAGCAGCTGTACTTTAAATGATTTATCGTAAGCACTATTCGAAATGCGTAATTGTGATTTCTCTTACATTTTTAACAGATTCCAATTGAAAATGTAATGCATTTGTATCATTTTGGAGAGTTTTGTAGCAATTGGAAATTATTTTTTGCTGAAACCAAATTTTTGCCAACTACCAAATTTTCGCACTTTTTTCCATCCTTTGGCTGGGTTTGCGACTTATACTCAGGTGCAACTGCTATTAACATATATAATTTCACGTTCGTTATGTTCACACTGACAGCCGCTAGAGGGCACTGGTGCGACTTATACGCCGGATCGCATTATATATGTTTTTTTCTTCTTCATTATGTTTTTTTTTTTCATTATGTTTTTTTTTTGTTGGAGCGGCTTATAGGACTAGGAATCTCCCACATTCCATCACCACAGCTCACTTTGACGCCCCCTGGCTGGCCTGAAATACAGTACAGATACAGTATTTGTGTGGTCTTTGACTTGTTTTTTATTATATTATTATTTCTGAAGAAAATTTTAACAATTTTAGTCATATTTTAGGGGGTTTTTTGAGCATGAAAAAATGTTTACTAAAAGCTAGACCAAAAAGAACGTGTTACATTTGAATATATTGTAAATCGCATGTGCAATGCATTAAATACATTTCTTGACATACTAGAAAGAAATCCACATAAAGCAACAGCTTCACTACAGAAAGAGCAGCTGTTGTTGGTTTGTTGCATGGAAATGTATTTATCCGAACTGCCTGTTTTACTTCACGTCCTATGTGATTTAGTTCAAATTTCCTTAGCACTGGTGCTCGAGCTGCTTGTTTATAATCTGTACTGTACTGAAGTATCTGGCACTCCGCATAATACGAGTACCAGATACTTCACAACGGCAACGCAACGGTCCTACTTAATCGCGTTGAACATTTTCTGCATCCGTGTTGAAAAAAAAAATACAAATATGGAGTCATTTTCTTTTGAGACACTCAATGCATGTGTATTCATTGAGCATGTCCGACTGGGTCAGGCATGCAGAAATGTTTACAGAAGCAACAAGGCAGTAAACGAGGCCTCAAAAATCAAATGCCTGTATGAAACGGGCACCTCAGTGTTTTTCTGCAGCACTCCCCACCACTGCCAGTGCACTGAGTGACAAGTACAAACACGGTCTCCCTAGGCCTCGGCATGCTTGTCCCAGCAACACACTTGCACAGATTTCCTGCTGGCAAGTTCCCTACTCTGGCAGCAGATGCGGATAAAAGACATTCTCAGCCTGAGATGGGATTGATAGCGACTGAGAGGTTCTTTGTCGCCAGTGCCTGTACTAACACTTTCCTTTGACTGGAAATATCTACAAAGCAATTACCTTGAGTCTGTTTATCCAGTAGCCTTTTTTTACTGACAAAGCGACTGACACCTCACTGGCGCACAATGACACACAAAACATGTTCAAACATCGCAAAAAAAAAAATAAAAACAGAGACTCTCTAAAAACCCGGCACTGACTTCGACAAGCGGACGCACTGTCCGATGTGTAATTACATTTCAAAAGAAGTGTGCAAGTGTGATAGGAAAAAAAATAGCCAATTTGTGTAGGTCTGGTCTTCTTCAGGGACAGATAACGAGCGACTAATGGTTGGTGCTTGTTGACGTGGGGGCAGTTAACAAAGCTCAGACGTAGACAAAACAGCCGGCCCTTTACGAGGAATGAGTCACTTCTCAGAAAAAGTGTGCGGAGGGTGAGAAATGAGAAAGAAGAAAACCAAGAAAGACGAAGAAAGAAAAAAAAGACCTGCATTGCAAGCTCCTCGGAAGGCTACAGAACCAGCATCTGTAATTTCCCTTGCAGTGTTTAAGCACATTCGAGCCGCAGTCAGCACTTCCAGAGAAAGAGAGGAGTCTGAGAAAGAAGAGGACTTTAGACTGGGGGGGGGGTTTAGAGATGATCGGATGTACACGGTTCCTCAGAGATGTTTTCTCATGATATGCAGATACATGTGTACAATAATTCACGCATGGGGAAAAGCAAAAAAAAAATTACAGGTTTCTGTAATTTTGTCTTTAAATTTTGTTTTATTTTCCCTTCCACGCAGCCAAGTGCTTTTTTGGGATTCTGAAATTACATCCAGTCTCTCTCTCTCTCAGGCTTCGCCAGAGTCATGAGTCATGGGTGAGGGATGCAGAGAGAAGAAGCAAAAGCAGCAGTCCCATATTACTTCCTTGACAAAACAGTAAGTGATCACCCCTCGTGTCAGCTCCTATTTTGGAAAATCCGAAAACTGAGCTTTGGGCATATTATTTTATCATTTTTATTTATATATTTTGTTTTGTTTTTTAATTTTCATCATCAGACATGAAATGTGAAAATA